TGTAACACATGCTCAAACATGTGTGATGCATCAGTAACAGTTCATACTGTGTCTGTGGCCTTGTATGTCTCATGTGTGTAACTGTCAGCAGTGCTGGCTGTGCTGTGTCGGTCCAACCTGGTTCTGTAAAGTCTTTCTGGACCCGTGTAAAGCAGAGCTGTGTCTTTGAACCCACTCGTTCCCTGTTGTTGCCTCTGTGGCAGGTGGGTTAGAGTATCCTAGTAATCGAGTATTCCACTGATTGTTTCATCATTGGCCAAGAAATATTTGGATGTCATTAATGAGCCGTGATAAGAGGAAAAACGTCTCAACATGAACTGCTCATTGGTTTCCTGTTACAAATGTTTTTCATTTAAAGTTTGACATCTGTCAAAAAACAAAAACAAATGAAACCTTTGTGTTCATGTTCTCAAATAAACTGTTTTCAGTTTAGCGGTATCGTTTTCATGAATGTGGTTTATATGAAATCTAAATGAAGTACAAAACTAACGAGTTGCTGTGCTTTTGTGGAAGACTGACACTTCTGTTTAGTGTGTGTGGACATTAAACTATGGCAGCATCCTCTTCACTGGTGCTTTTTGTTTAAAAACTGGGAGCTGTGGGGCTTAATGTTGTGACACGCTGCTCCCAGATATTTTTCTATTTTGAGTTTGAAATGTGGGTGAAACGCTGGCATTTACATGGTGACAGCTAAGAGTTAAAGTGAAGTATTGACACAAAGAATATAAGTTGAATATAGACTATAGCTCGACTGCACTGAGCACTGAACATGAATAATGTGGCGTTTCCACAGTGCTGCAGCTGCACACTGTTATTTATTCAGAGGGTAGCAGGAAGACAGTTTGTATGGTTAGCATCATGTTTGATGGAGGCGGAGCATGTGAACGTTAGCAGAACGTGAGCCAGAGCTTGTACAGTCTTACAGGTCTGTAACCCTGCTGCGTCGCAGCCTTGTGCTCTTCATGGAGGAGCACAGAGTGTTTCAGTTTGTGCTGGACGTCCTCTGTTGTTGAACATCATCCCATTTAAAAGGCGCCAGTATGAAACTCGCTGCTCGGGTTTGCTCATTGTTGGTGCTCGCAAATGTAAATGCATGTGTTTCAGCTGGACATGTCGTATGATGTTACCTGTATTATACCTGTGTGTGGCACAGCCCTCATTCATGTGGTTGTCATCTGTCTCGAGGTATCCTGGAAGAGTCGCTACGGCAGTACGGCAGTTTGATCCCCATCCACGTGGATGATGTTGTGGAGAAACTTCAGGACATCTTCAATGAAAACTTCTCACACCCACACAGGTGAGATGTAGTGATACTGTTGTGTTAACAGTGTTCTGTGTTGGTACCATCCTTCTCTCATCCTTTTGTGCAGTAAAGGTTAAGCTGGTGT